CAAATGGACATCGCGGGATTACAGTCAATGCTCTCTTAGATGATGCAAGTACGCATGACATACATAAATGAAGATATAGCTGCAGAGACTTGGGTTACAAGGACACATTATCAAGAAGGTGTGGTAGATGTTCTTAAACTAGGTAGAAAGGGAAGTTTTGAATCAGCGACTGTTAATTTTGTGTCTCAGCGTGATTGAGTTTTCAGTTGATGGATCAATGTCAGCTCTTTACAAGCAATGAAGTTTTACTGGCAAAAATGCAAGTAGTAGACTGGGGAGAAACATGGACATAAATGGAAACATTTGAATCGCATCAAATTTCCAAAACTTGGTTCTCGTACTGTGGTTGATGATGTCTCGTAGGCACTTCGGACTACATTGACCTATAATATGAAGAGTAGGTGGTGGTCAAGGGAGAACCTATTACGAGGGCTTCTGGCTAACCTCTTGGGTGGACATGTGCATAGGATGTGTTCATGGTGCAAAATGAAAAACATTTGCAAATACATTTTTCATTGATAAACAACAATAGGACAGAATTGCAGAATCTAAAACGCATTGGTGCACAGGTTCTGGGAAGTAGAGAACGTTTCGTGTAGCACACATGGATTGACTACAATGATGATGAATTGTCTGCAGTTGAAAAGTTCATGGGCACTTCAGTACAACAATGGTCACTACCAAGTGGGAGTATACCTTGGAGATATGACTACACAGATGTTACCAGATAACTATAAGATGGCTGTCAATCGATGTATAGCACTGAAAGAAACTGTCCAGAAGGACAAAGAGATGGCTGGGCTGTATACAGTTCTAGACCAATATATTGCAAAAGGGATACATTCATGGAGTATCGTCATTGGAAAATGGTAAATGGTTTCTACCTCATTTTCCAGTAGTTCTGCATCGAACAGAGCTACAACCAAAGTACGCATTGTATTCGATGCTTCTGCAAAGCGTCAGGGTGTTTCACTCAATGACATAATACATCAAGGACCGAAGTTGCAGAATGATCTTTTTGAAATCTTGCTGCGATTTGGGAAGCTTAACCCATAGTTAACTTGTCTTTGTGACATCTCGGAGATGTACCTACAAATTGAAGTGAAACCTGAAGATTGTAAATACCACAGGTTTCTGTGGCGGATCCATGAATTCAAATGAAGAACCACAGGTGTATGAGTTTAACAAGATTGTTGTTCGGTTTGAATTGTTCACTCATTCTTAGCGCAATACATTTCACAAGAACATGCAAAAGCACATCAGAATGAATATCCACTTGCTGTTGAGGACTGTAGTAAGCTTCCACCTATATGGACGATAATTATGGATTCAGTAGAAGATGACATGACTGGGATAGAGCCAGCTGTACAATCAGCTGAGTGAGCTATAAGCGCACAAACAAGGTATGAACGCTAGAAAATGGCTGACTAGAATTCCGTGGATATCATCCTGATGGAATCCCGTTAAAATCTAGGGCACAGAATATTGGTAAACATAAACAAAATGAATTGCCTTCAGTGAAAACACTAGGTCTTAGTGTGGATTGCAAATGATGATGAGTTCATAGTTTCTGTATGAATGTTCCTACAGAAGACATTGTGAGAATGACCAAACGAAATGCGCTCTCAATTGAGATTGGTAAGGATCTTTTGATCCGCTTGATTCCTCTTGACACCTTTTCACCATTGTGGGGAAATTGATGATTCAAGAGATATGGATATCAGGTTTCGGATGGGATGAAGAGCTTGATCCAGAACTGAATCATAGAACTTTTAAAATGGGTAAATGAGGTTAAAGAGTTATGCAATATCAGAGTAACCACGGTGCTTTGAGAATCAAATTCCTGAAAATAGAAAACAAAAACATTTCATGTATTTTGCAGATGCATCAACAAGATGCATATGGAGGCAACAATATATGCAGTCTATAACTTACCAGAGTGGGAAGTGGTCAGTCGTTTGGTGCCTCCAAAAAGCAGGGTTGCTCCTCTTCAATCTCGTAAGCATTCCAAAGAATGGAACTGATGGCAGCAGTCGCAGGGTAGAAATTGCTTTGTTGCTTCAGCAAAGGTATTAGAAATGTCCACTGTCAACACATATTTTGGTGTGACAGTTTGAATGTGTTATGTTGGATAAAAAGCCAGAGTAGAAATTACAAAGTCTTTTGTGGCAAATCGCAGTGGTTATATCCAGGAGAACACACCAGTTCCTTATCCAGTGGAAATATGTTCCATCTCGGTTTGAAATCCTGCAGGTATACTTTACCAGGGTACATCAGTGAAGAACAGCTGATGTAGCATGGCTGACAGGACTGTGCGCATTTCTGAAACTCACAGAAAGTGAATGAAATTGAGAACAAGCCGTTTGGATTTCAAAGTGATAGTGCAACTTCAGAAAATGAAGAAGCTGTCCAGAAAAGAGGGAAGTTGTTACACTAATGTCTGAAGGTGAGGATTACGTAGCGTCTTCTATCCTTCCAGATACTCTGACTGGAAGAGGTTGACTAGAATAATATGTGCTTGCAGCATGCAGATTTCAGGACCAATGCATCGTATTGCACCAAGAATACGGCACATGGGTAATTTGGAAGTTGACGAAATCGAAGATGCTGAAATGAGAATCAATCGATCCAGACGCAACAGGAGTTTGCAAAAGAGTTTTCTCGCACTACAAAAAGAAAGCAACTTCCAAAGACAGACAGCAAACTCATTGGACTTCAGCCAATAATCGATGAAGAGGGACTAATTAGGGTACGGTGGCAGACTGAGATATGCTGACTGCTTGTCTTGGGAACACGAGTTCCAATAATCTTCCCTCATGGAGAACTGGGTCTAGGAAACTTGTTGAAACATTACCACGAAGCTGGTAAACATGCAGTAGGTACTAATCAAACTTTCAGCTGCTCTATCCTCAAGATACTGGGTCATTGCTGCTCGGGAAGAGATTCGAGCATGGGAGACAGAATGTGCCTTTTGTCGGAGACAAAAGCTCAACCGAGACCTCGAATTAGCGGCTCCACTTCCAAAGCTGAGAGTTAGCTATTCACTGAGAACATTTACTCATGTTGGAGTGGACTATGCAGGGCCTTTTGCAGACTATCCAAGGGAGGTCAAAGAAAGAGACAAAACGACATTTGTGTCTTTCACGTGTATGTCCACTAGGGCTGTACATCTGGAAACATGTCATATGGTCTCGATAGTGACTCGTTTTTGAATGCTTTCTTCCGCATGACAAATAGACGAGGAATGCCAAAGAAGTCGTATCCGATAACAGAGCTTAACTTTGTAAGAGCTGTGAAGGAATTGAGAGAGTCTGGTTGAACAACTTGATTGCAACTTCGAGATCATCGCGGCTAATGTGAGAGTCGTCTGGAGATTCAACCCTCCTCATACCACATTTTGGTGGTGTATTTGAAATACATGGTGGAAGTCAGCTAAAAGAGAGCTATCTTTTGCCATTCACGGGTACAAAGGCGATGTCACGGGATGAGAAGAGCTAACAACAGCATTTACTGCCGCAGAAGCACTCATAAATTATCGTCCCCTCACTTATCAAAGTGCTAACTGCTAAAGATGATGTACCGTTAACCCCAAATATTCTTATGCATGCGAGCCAGAGTCAGTGGAACGGTTGCTCCCAGGAGCTCAAGGCGGTGGTGAGTCACTACGCCATACCACCAACCCCAGAAAACGATGGAGACGAATACAGGAACTGATGAGGGGCACTTCTGAGGAAGGTGGTTGAGGGAGCTACCACCAACCTCTTCAAGTCAGGGAAAGAAGTGGAGAGAGGCTAACCGCAATCTGAAGGTGCAATGATGGCGTCATCGTAGTTTCACCAGATTCTCCACGTGGAAGCTGGCCTTTGGGAGAATCGTCAACACATATCCAGGCGAGGGATGGACGCCATGTCCTCGAGGGTACAAGTAAAGATGGGGAGAGAAAACTTACGCTGATGAGACCTGTGATGAAGGTATGTCCACTCGGAGTGGAACGCGGAGGAGGATGACTTGAGAAGAACATTAAGCAGGATCAGTCATGTGGAGGTTCCGGGCGAGATATGTTCATGCAAAGCAGTGGGAACGGGATCGTCGCCGTCTTGAACATGGATCGTTCAGTCTGGAGGATGGATCGCTTCGTCGTTCGTCTGGAAGATGGATCGTTCGTCGTCTGGAGGATGGATCGCTCGTCTGGAGCATGGATCGTCGGAGGAGGATTGAATTTGGAAGATTTTGGAAGATTCGAATTAGGATGTACCAAATGACTATTTTCGAGGGTCAAGAAACAGGATGTGTTGTTTATTGAAATGTGCATTTTTCATTTTGGTGATTCATGATTCATGGATATCAGCAGAACATAATGATGAACAGGGGAGTCTATCATGGAGAGGAAATGGACTCGAAGAACAAGTTCATGGAATGTCCGGAAACACTGCGACCGGGCGGACACCAGATAGAGCATAATTTCTCGGATGAGGGTTATAGAACAGTTGCGTTTGGGATTGTTTCAGTTATGCTATGGATGTTTTGTTTTGTTCCTCGGACAATGTGTTGTACATGTGCGCGAACAACAACGCTTCGCAGAAAGCAACTACTACACGAGATTCCATGAATGAATGTTTTGTTGGCATAAACGTATTTCGTGATACTTTTGGAGATGGTGTTAAATGAGAGTGCTTAGGAGATTGGTGTTGGAGAATTCAGGAGATTAGTGTTAGAATTGTTAGATTGGTTGCGTCGAACGGACCTTCTGTGTGGTAGATGTTTGATACCTTTGACGTGTTTGAGATGCTTTGGTCATAATCGGACCTCTGCGCGGGCGTGAATCCTTTTCGTACAGTATCTTGCATTCGTTAGTGTATATATAAATTTTACAATTGTGGGGAAATAGAATTTTGGATTAAATAATTAGAATTTTTGTTTTCATTCCACCGCAAAACATCTATCATTGAAGTGATCCTGTATAATGACAATGTAGCGTGGAGATGGATATGCACCTGGACGAGTCTAATGTTTGCTGTGGTACACGTCTTGACATTCCGCATCGGCTTTAAACTGTCCTCTATGCATTGGAATCTAAAGAGGGGTGAAGGATATCATGCAGATTCTGGTCCCCAGGTCGGCGACACATAAAGTATCCACCAGCCCTCGAGTGTTTCGTGTAAGCAAGCGACAAACAGCAGTCCATAATTATAAAAGGTAGAGTCCCGAGCTACATATCCGACTTCATCATCAGCCTGACCTGTCGGGAACACTAGCAGTTATGATGCAGAGTGTTCAGTGGTGGAGCCAAAGCAGATAATTATGTTATCGTTGGTATGTACGACCATATTTGCAGAATTTCGTATTGCATTGTGGGCTTCTGTATCTCAAAGCAACCAATCAATGATGCTAAGGACACAACTGTAAACAGCTTTACAACTCTTGTTGAAACATTTTCAAACAAATAATGGAACAATATGATAATATTAGTAAAGACAATCCAGATGCAATTTCTCATGCATCTTGTAGTAATAGTAATAGTCCACTTTTATGGCGCTCATATCCAGGCACATTGCTTATAGCTCACGGTACTACGTACATTACTATATCAGGTCATAGGACACTATCATACTTTTCGATACTTTTTCAACTCCCTGGAGACAAACAGCCATGCTGCCTGTTTGGCACAATGAACTAAACCCTCACATTGCCAGCACATCCTCACGGGTACCTGAGGACAATGTGCATCTACGTATCTTGTCCAAGAATACAACACGCAATGTGCCCACCTTTGGGATCCGAACCTAGGTGCCTCCATCGGGGATCGAACCCGGGCCTTCAGCGTGATAGGCAGATTGCCTACCACTCGCACCATTGTGCTTCCATCTTGTCAAGTCAGGAGGAGAACCCTGGAGGTACTGCGGTAAATAGCACAACAGACGTAATCACGCCCAGCGCCTCAACTGGCATACCAGAGACGTCACAAAGTGTTCATTGAGTCACGAAGTGTTCATTGGGTCACGAAGTGTTCATTGGGTCACGAAGTGTTCATTGAAGTCACTGAAGTGTTCATTGAGTCACGAAGGAGATAAGACAAGCAATCCGTGATCACAGTTAGAACAAAGGGACCGATTCTGATACTCTATCCAGTAAGCTACATGTAATACGAATTCCCAAGGACAGCAACTTCTGATTCGTTATAACAGTATTTGTAATGACGAAATGCTACTTCAAAACCGAGACAATATATGTGCCAGTTTGTGGTAGGTAAAACAGTTCGCTATATCCGTCAGTTCGTTATAAGCGTTTTGGCTCTTTAGACGCAGTGCTCTGTACAATACGTTCCTCAGAGGTGTCGACGTTATGTATTGGACACCAAACATACCACAAACATCCCTGCCACGAACAAAGCGACACCACCTGATACACGAGCAGTGGAGAAGTTGCACATTTGACGCCCGGTAACCATGCATGTGTCATAGATACCGCACACATACCTGGGTCTCTTCTTGAAGAGACCCGTGACGATCCAGGGTAGAATAGGTCTTCAGCAACCCATGTGCTTGCCATAAAAAGGCGACTATCTTGTCGTAAGAGGCGACTAACTTGGGATCGGATTGGTCAGTTTCGCTGACTTGGTTGACACAATGTCATCGGTTCCCAATTGCGCAGATCGATGCTCATGCTGTTGATCCATGGATTGTCTGGTCAGACTCGATTATTTTACAGACCACCGCCGCCATATAGCTGGAATATTGCTGGAGTGCGGCGTAAAACTAAACTCACTCACTCACTCACTCCTGAAGAGAAAAAAAGGCACGATATAGGTTTACAATCCAGGGCCACCTGACCATAGGATTCACATATCGGCGTTGTGTATATCTAAAGTATAGGTTGTACAATCCTGGGCCGCCCTGACCTTGGGTTTCACATATCGGCGTTGTGTATATACAAGTATAGGTTGTACAATCCTGGGCCACCTGACCATGGGATTCACATATCCGGCGTTGTGTATATACAAGTATGGGTTGTACAATCCTGGGCCGCCTGACCATGGGATTCACATATCGGCGTTGTGTATATACAAATATAAGGTTGTACAATCCTGGGCCGCCTGACCATGGGATTCACATATCGGCGCTGTGTATATACAAGTATAGGTTGTACAATCCTGGGCCACCTGACCATGGGATTCACATATCGGCGTTGTGTATATACAAGTATAGGTTGTACAATCCAGGGCCGCCTGACCATGGGATTCACATATCGGCGTTGTGTATATACAAGTATAGGTTATTACAATCCAGGGCTGCCTGACCATGGGATTCACATATCGGCGTTGTGTATATACAAGTATAGGTTGTACAATCCTGGGCCACCTGACCATGGGATTCACATATCGGCGTTGTGTATATACAAGTATAGGTTGTACAATCCTGGGCCACCTGACCATGGGATTCACATATCGGCGTTGTGTATATACAAGTATAGGTTGTACAATCAGGGCCGCCTGACCATCATGGGATTCACATATCGGCGTTGTATATATAACACAAGTATAGAGGAAGAGCTTTATTCAGTATTTATGGCCATGACCAAAAGTACAATTCAATAAAGCAAAATATAGCACATGGTCAGGCGAACAATTTACAATTGATACAGGTAAATATAGTTTAAGATAAATTGCAATATTGTTTAGGAGTTTTACATTCTTTGTTGAAAGCAGCTGAGTAAACTTTGATCTGGTTGGAATTATAATATAAAATCAGTAATGTACAAAGAGCGTTGTGAATAAAATGGACATACGAATAAGAAATGATACTCATCTTGTATCAAATTACAATTACAATTATCACATTTAGTGTAATCAGCATTTACCATATTAAAACGGTTGTGTTGAATTTTAAGTTTAGTACTCATGCATCTGAATTTAAATAAAACTCGTAAGAGATCTTTATCATAGCAAAACTCTGATATATATTTTTCCGGTTCAAGTACAGATTTTATATGACGAGTAATGATTTAAGAATGATGAAGAAGTGATTTTTGCATACCAAATCTGTATATCTATATCTTTACATCTCTGTTTAAAACACTTATAAAACTTGTTACATCTCCACAATCTTGCGATAACCACACAAAGAAAATCCAGAGTGAAATAAAAGTAAACGTACATGGGATGCCAATGGCGACCACCATTGTCGCCGAATGGTTTTAACATTTCATAGCATGCCTTTAGAATACGATAACTTTCCATATTTAGGAGTCTACACCAGTACTTTATACAACGGGTGAAATACTGTACACAAAGATAGCTTCTACCTGTTTCACATAGTACAATATTTGATGATACAGTTTGCTAACACGAAGATATATTTTGAAATAATAACTTTGTATTTTTTCAATGTTTTGACGATAGGTAAATAGAGAATACTACACGAGGTCTCATTACATACGAATTATACGAAACGAGTGTCCTTCCCATGGTATCTTACCGAGCGAAAGCGAGGTCAGATTTATATAGGAAGATCACAGTTTCGTATAATTCGTATGTAATGAGACCTGAGGTCAATATTTATTTATTACCCACGTCTTACATGCTTTAAATTGACAAAATAACGTAGTTTTGTTAATATTTTGGTTTCAAACCAGAAACCGGTTTCATAAAGAGGTTGCGGAAGAGTTTTGTACTGTAGTACAATATTTGCATGACGTCACTGTAATGACGTCACTGACTTATTAACCGACGTCACGATGCATGTCAGTTGTCATCGCCTCGTACAGCCTCCACCCCGTTTCTTGGTTTGCAGTTGCTTCATTCGGCTAACATCACTGGTGGAAACATTGCGTTTACGTTTTTCGACGGGTTTAATGTCTCAGTTCGACTCACAATTAAACAGCGACACGACAAAGTTCGCGATGTTTACATTCCCACAATGCATTTAGTTGTAGAATGAATGGATCCACGTGTTTGTTATGAATGAAAAAATAGTTACGTCAGAATGTGACCTAATTGAGAGGTCATCGGTTATCCAATCAAATCGTTAGAATCTCAGGTCAAAGTCGTTACGACACAGGTCAACGCGATACGACACTCGTGTGACGTACGAGATTAGTATGCAACTACCCATACGTTGACCACGTGGGTAATAAAACCCCATATTTCTGCACCATAAAGCAACATCGGTGCAATTTTGCTATCAAATATAGTACATGCCTCATTCAAAGAGATATTTTGATAAGTTCTGAAAAGAGAACATATCGGAAATGAAGCCTTCCTGGCTTGTAAAGCTAATGTTTCACATGCTTTAGACCAGTACAATTTTGATGTGAAAACAATGCCAAGATATTTATAATGAGATAAAACCTTCATGTTTGTACCATTATAAAGCCATTTTCGTTATTTCGAAGATAGCCACCATTCCTGAGAAAACAATAATGCAGGATTTATCTAAGTTAACTTCTAGACCCCATTTGTTACAAAATGATTTTAATGTATCCATTTTTTTTTGTAAACCTATTACTGTGTCTTCAATGAGAGTGACGTCATCTGCGAATAACAATAAAAAGTATATCATTCATACCATTTTTCACAAAATATTCCACGTAGGCCACATGCATTCATTTCATCTACTAATTCGTTGATAAAGAAAATGAACAGAACAGGACTGAGAATACATCCTTGTCATAGTCCAGATGTTGTCGAGAATACTTTGTTCGTACACTAGATATTTTCACACAAATTAGATACCTTTTATCATACACATGTTTTGAGGATTCGTATTATTTTCCCATGTATACCTTTGGAGATAAGAGCATATGAAAGCTTGTTTCTGTTTATTTAATCAGAGGCCTTCCGACAGTCAATGAAAGCTGCGTAAAACCGATGTTTACGTTTTCTTAAATACTTTTGGCATAGAGCTTGCAGAACGAACATATTATCAGGTGATGAGTAATCGAGCCTACATCCTGCCTGACATTCATGCAATATATCGTTTAAATCTAACCAGATACGGATTCTGACTTCGAGGCTAGAAGTGAATATTTTCCTTTACATTCAACAAAGAGATTCCACGATAGTTATTTGGTTCATGAGTGCTTCCTTTTTATATAGAGTGAATGATCAAGCCAACATTCCAGATATCAGGAAAAATGCCGCATGTTTGAAGAATTCGGGTGGTGTTCCATCAATACCTGGGAGTTTACCAGATTTTAACACTTTGATTGCATTTTCTATTTCTGTTCTGAACAATTGGTGCAGATAAAGTCAGTATTGTTACAGTCCGCACAGTAATCATGCTGTGTCAAAATGCGTCAACATTCTCATTGAACTCAACATTTGTTTCCCGACACGTCGGGTTTAACAAGTTCTTAAAGATGTCACCCACTTATCTGCCGTAATTGTGTTATTTTCATTACAATTGCTCATTACAGATTTTATCTTATGCCAGAACTTCTTACAGTCACCACTTTTAGCTGCACTCTGAATCTCATCAGCAATACCACCGTTAAACATGTACTATAGTTGTGATGTGTACTACAGTTTTGATGTGTACTATAGCTATGACGTGTACTATAGTTATGACGTATACTATAGTTATGACGTGTACTATAGTTGTGACGTGTACTATAGTTGTGACGGCAGTGTATAGATTAAGACGTATTGCTATAGTTATGCCGTGCACTATAGTTGTGACGTGTACTATAGTTTTGATGTGTACTATAGCTATGACGTGTACTATATTTATGACGTGTACTATTGTTATGACGTGTGCTACAGTTGTGACGTTTACTATAGGTATGACGTGTGTTATAGTTATGATGTGTGCTATAGTTATGACGTGTGCTATAGTTATGATGTGTACTGTAGTGATGACGTGTGCTATAGTTATGACGTGTACTATAGTTGTGACGTGTACTATAGTTATGACGTGTGCTACAGTTGTGACGTTTACTATAGGTATGACGTGTGTTATAGTTATCGACTCGATCAGGCAATTCTCCGAGTATGGACCCAAGTGCGTATGACCTTCATCGACCGGCTAATTGATTCCATGTACAGACGATGCAAAGATTTCATCGATCCCCATAGAGGCCACACACGATACTGACTTTGGGGTATCTTAATTGTACCATTTTGGGGGATTTTGTTTGTATGAACTCTAAATGTGTTTTCCCGAAAATGTGTTAACCATAACTGTCAAGTTTGAACTCAATCCTCTGTTTTAAGTGAGTGAGTGAGTGAGTTACAATTTAAAGTCACTTTGGCAATATTTCAGCCATGTCGTGACTAAAATAACATATATATTTACAATAATCAAAGGAAGAGTATAAAATCCTGTCAACGAAGGACAGTAAAACAACTAGAATATCACAGATATATGTAAAGCTAGTAACTGAACCTAAAACACGTTTTAACACAATGTAAAAATAGGCTATAGATCACCAGCAATTGAAGGTAGTTCATCATACTAGGGACCATGGGGACTTACAGTACCTTTGCTACCTGCATGGACCCGAGCTGGATTTAAACCATCCCTTCAGCCGCTGGAGATTGTAAGAAAAATTTAGCCGGAAGTTAAACAAAAATACTACGATTAAAATGTGGTAAATTTATATTTTACCTTGAAAATTATGGGACTTACTTACCCTCTCAGGAGGACAATAATTTTACAGTACTTTAACCCCCTTTGAGGGTACAGCCACTAACAATCTAAGTTACTCATCTAAACTACCAATAATAAAATACCAATCTATTTACAAACTATTCATCAAAATTTATCTAGCAATTCTATTTCTTTTAAGAATTCAATGATTAAATGATAATTAACACTAAAAAGATCGTTCACTGTTTTGACATTAAAATATTTATCCCTTGTGATAGCAAAATAAATACAGTCAATCAAGACATGCTTGACCGTGATTCTTTCATCACAAGAGATACAAAACGGAGGATCCTCACCTTTTAACAGGTATTCATGAGTATACCTTGTGTGGCCAATGCGACATCGTCGCATCATGACCTCTTCAAATCTGGACTGACAGCCCAAGTAGGTGTAACCAATATAGGGTTTTATTTCATGTAATTTATCAATATCTACTTGGGTGTCCCACTTCTTCTGCATTAGATCACGGATGTAAGTTCTAATGCTAGCTTTGTAATCAGAGTATGGAATAAGAAGTGGTGTCACAGATTTGTTGAGTGCTGCCTTGGCAGCAAGATCGGCCATTGTTTTCCCAGAAATGCCAACGTGGCTGGGTAACCAACAAAAGACGATGTCGCTTTGGCCAGTTGCAAGATCAGTATACAATTCAATTATTTCAATTAAAAGTGGATGTTTACAAGAATTTTTTTTAATAGCCTGAAGACAAGAAAGAGAATCTGAAAATATGATGTATTGTTTATATTTGGGGTGCTTATTAATGTATTTAAGAGCTTTTAATATGGCGTTAGCTTCTGCTGTGAAAATACAGCTGTTATTGGGCATTCGAGAAGATATTGGTTTTGGATCTCCAAGATGCTGACACCAGGGATACAGGGGTGTTAGATTTCAGAGATTATGACGTGAACAGCTGTATTTGCCTACCAATTCAACGCCAAACTGGTTCGGAAATTGGACAAGAAATTCGAGACATACATTATTTAGAGGTCAACATCACTAGATTGGCCCATGAGCCACCGCCTTCTGGCATAGGACTCTAGGCAATATAGTATAATAAAAACATTATACAATAGAAATCGAAGTTACCAATACCCAATAACAAGTTCAATGTGCAAAAATAGTCACCATGCAGAGGGCTTGGCGTGACCAGCCGATTGATAGAACCGGGCCAGTTCTACCACCCGTCTAGGTGAAGTAAGGGCCAAAGTGGTGTGTTGGGCAAAAGGAACACGGTTCCAGGATCCTATTGCCCTCAACCACCAGAATCCAGTCCTCCACCGACACAGGGTCGCAACCCACGGCGAACGGGTTGGTGGACCAAATATACCCCCGGGTCCACAACGGGGGATTGAAGAGCGCTAAGCGTTACCCAGCACCCACCACGAGGAGGTGGCTCTTCACGGGTGCCTCCTCTGTTTTGATTGTTCATTAGAGTGAATGAAAGTGTGTGCTTTAAACATCGCACTGTACCTATTGTTTCATCCAATTTAGTATACTGAGCAAATATTAGCTTTTCTT